AGGAGGGAGGAGGGAGGAGGGAGGAGAGAGGAGAGAGGAGAGAGGAGAGAGGAGAGAGGAGAGAGGAGAGAGGAGAGAGGAGAGAGGAGAGAGGAGAGAGGAGAGAGGAGAGAGGAGGAGAGGAGAGAGGAGAAGAGGAGAGAGGAGAAGAGGAGAGGAGGAGAGAGGAGAAGAGGAGAGAGGAGAAGAGGAGAGGAGAGAGGAGAGAGGAGAGAGGAGAGAGGAGAGGGGAGTTGTAGGTTCTCAGGTCCACAACGTAGGTGAGCATAACACCCATCGACAATAAAAAGGTTGTAGCGCAAAGACTGTCAGAGACTGTCATTGAACGTTTGGGGATCCTGCACTGGACGTAGGATTGTCATTGGACTTGGGGCATCGCCTTCCTGCAATTGCATCTCGCGTGTAGACACTTTGGCACAATCGCTAGACACATTTGTACTCCCGTACCTCATCCGTGTGTGCGTAGGACAGAGCCTCCAAATCAAGAATACATGGAGTGGTAAGGCAGGGCACATGCAAAGGCAACCAAAGTTGTAAATTCCTGTGCTGTTCTGCTCTGAATCTACAGGCGCAAATTCCTCTTGGGCTGCTGCAGTTCGCGGGGTGGCCACTTCAACGATGTACCTGCTTCGCTGAGCCGAACGACAACTGATCCAAAATCTGTGCATGAACACAACAGCACATATTCTGCTCTACATGAAAGTTGGCACAAGCTTCGTGCTCGTCGGTCCTGGAAAAGCGACAAAAGGACATGCCATATTCATCTATACCCGAACTCTAGATTCACACTGCCTCAATTCGCTGCGTGGGATTCCTAGCCCACTATCGCATTGGCGTTGTCTCAAATTCCTTTTCCCGAAAAGTGCTCTTTCGCTTCCCTTTTGCGAATCTTTCGCCTGCTTTTGCGCCCACTGCGAAATGCAAATTCTTTCCTCGGTTGTTATCTCTATAATATACTATACTTGTGTGTTGCTGTTTGTCGTTTCATGGCCGGTTTCTACTTGTTTGTTGGGTTTGTGGTTTCGTGGCCGGTTTACAAACAAATCAAAGTCTAGAGACAAGTCGAGTTACCTCCTACTAGTACGGTACGTCTTTCGCGGGGGGCCCTTCCCGATGCATATTTGTCTTTCGTGAACCTGTCACGATGTTTCCTCCTGCCTTCCAGCAAAAAAACATTTCTATCAGCTATCGAGCATGCAGAGAGCCAAGCATGAATCATGCAAAGCTAGACCATAACTGCAATGCCAACAAGAAAGGATTCAAACAAACAAAGATCCTGCTTTTACTCTTTTAAGGCTTGAAGGTGTGGAAACAAATCATCTTGGACGCTTGCAAACATTGGTGCACAAGCAAAGCAAATGCAAAGATCGTTGAGGGGATATCTACCTGTATACAGTAGATAGTCTTAGTAGACTCGTCTTTTGCAAACTATTCGCTTCCCTTACGCAAGTTTTCGCGACGTGAACGGTGGACCTTTAACAACATGACATGGAAACTCGATTCCTAAATCCTAGACTAGGGTTTTTGGGCAACTCCCATATTTTGTTACAGTAGGGCGTACACTCTGTGGACAACCTGGAAGGTTTGGTCCTCAAAACCGGAAGGGGCTCGTCCACGGGCGGAAGCCGGAGCAGTCACCTGCCACTCATAAGCAGAAATGTTGAGAATTAAACATAAGCAAAGTTGCACACTGACTTTCAAAGTTGTAGGGCCAACATGCGGCTACCGGCCTCTGCCGAATTCCACCAAGCCTCAGCAATCCAAGCACTTCATGGGTCGAATGCTTGTTAGAGCGAAGGTCCCGGCAACCGGTGGCCTTCCTCTGGGCGTATGAGGAGTGGTTACCCCTGCAAGCAAACAGCAACAATAAATGCGCAGCATAGCACAGCCTACAGCCTAGCACCGCGTCGCACAGCCTTCACGTAAACATAGATTTTGAGAAAGGTGTGTCAGGTCAAGCAGTGGCAAGTCCTGACAAGTTGACACGTTGGGAAGAGATGTCGGCGCTCAAGTGTACGAGTTTCGGAAAAGAACCGAGGGTCCCACCATGCGGTTTTGCCTCGGGGGCTCGTCTGCACATCTTAATAATGTGAGTGCTCGAAGCTCATTGTCTAAAATGTAGTAGTCAGTGTGGTCCGTGTCATCCATCATATCTGAATTTGAATGCCCGAGTTGTTCTTCGAACAGCAGCAGCACGGTCTACTCGGTATCTTTTTAGAGTATGTCCTTTGCCCAGTCTTTTCATGGAAACCCTGAATCACTGGTCAAACGAACCATATGATTTGCAATCCCATAGGGCCGTAGGATAAGAACCACTTTGGCGCACCTGGTGGCATGGTTCCAATTCTGGCATATGCTGCCTCGGTTGGTTCCAAGCCCAGTTGCCAGCTGCATACATTGTCTCATCTTGCCTCTTATTTATCACTATCTCACTCGCTTGGTCAAGTACTGGAGCTGCTTGAGAGACCTTGGAGGTTGCACAATCACTGGAATCTAACAAGCCATCGAGCCCGGTTGCAGGCTGGTGTCTCGCGAACCACCAGCAACTACCTAGCATCAAAAACCATAAAGGACAAGAAGTGTTGCCAAGCCAAATGTAGAAGAAGCAGAAGCACAGTAACAAGTGGAAGTGGATTCAAGGAACGGACCAGCATCAGAAGAGGTGAGCAATGCATGGCACTTGCACACACAATTCCGTGCCTCTCTTAATTGCCCTTCAAATGATCTGGGCAATGCATGGCACTTGTCCTCAAGCAGTTGGCACTCTTGCAATGTAGCGGCCGTTCCGACCATTAGACAAGCTGTCGCACTCTTCCCATAAACGCAGCAGGCCTTCACAAGCTTGCACTGTGCACCGGGAAGGTTGCTTCGGTGTCCTTCCATGTTAAAAGTAAGGGCTCGGTTGTGTGTAGAATCATTGAGAGCCTCCATGTGAGGCACATTGCCGAGCGCCCATCAAAGCTCTGGCCTCAAAGATCGGATCCAAAAGCACAGCAGGTAGATAGCTGGAAGCATTGTCGATCATTGTGGAAGTGGCTTGCTGAGAACGTAGCTATCACAGTCGGCTCTCTTGCTCGAGTTTGTAATGTTTGCGCCAGTACAGGCCTTAGTTCTGCAAACAGAATCTCCTCAAGTTGCTGGATGACAAAACGGTTGATGTCCACTTTGTTGCTGTTGCTCGCTTCCATCTCTACCTGAATGTTACGTTGAGTAACTATGATTAATTATATATGTGGTGCAGCCATGTGCAGCCAGGTTACCGTTTGGAGTTCATGACAAATCTTCTTGGCAAAATTCTGACAGCACATTGCTCCTGGACGGTCTGAGCTTCTACAGCTCACAGTAAAGAAAGCTGTACCCTCCAAGCTTCAAGTTTCAACAAAATCTTCAACCAGGTCGTCCTTCTTTGAAGACGGTGGTCGCACTCTTTCCATTGATGGTGCCTGACTTTCTTCTCAACTTCCTCACAATAGGACCCCCAAACGGATTGCTCAGGCTCAGGAGCCAAGGTTGTGCTTTTAGGCACACCTACACTTCCTTCTTTCGTGTCACAAATCATGCACTGGCCTGCATCCTGGCATCCATCCTGTGTAAGGTCGAGTTCAAGAGAATATTCAGCCATCGCAAGATCCAGTTCTCCCCGTCGAATATCGAAGTTTCGGCGCTGCAATGTAAGGGCGACCCCCTTGGAGATCCGTCGGGCCTTTCAGGCCTTGCCTTCGGTTTTGACCTTAGATAACGATGTTTTGTTAAGGGGGGGTAGGCCGCCATTAGAGGTAGGTTAGCTAGGTAGCTATCTAGTAGAAGCCAGGTAGCCAGTAGCTACAAGTATATATATATATATAATATATAATCTACTAACGACTGGGCAGGATAACTCACGCTTCTTCAAGGAAGCTCCCCAACGCCTTTAGAAGCCTCCTTGAAGAAGCGCTCGCACTATTCATTTGGTTCCTAGACTTTCAAAGGACACTTAACGGTTCAAATGTGCGCTTGGCTATGCTTGGCTGCTAGGTTCCCTGCACGGCGACTGCAGGGCAGAAAGAGACTATGGAAGGAAAGGATAGCATGCAAGGCATTGATTGACAAGGCTCAGTGAATTCCAAGAACTAAACCCTTTACTGGGATTCATGTATGATTACCAGTAGCATGTGTCTTGCCATCGCCTTTTGGACTTGGAGATAAGAGGCGCTGTGCCTTAACACACCGTGCCACGCAAAGCACTGTTGTTGGAGGGATACTGGAAACTGGGTGTCACACGGCCAGAGCTGGACGAGAAGACTTTTCAGTTTGCTGTGAAGGGCGCCTCAGCCTACAGCTTTTGGCTGCAAAAGTCAGAGAAGTGGCGCCCTTTGAGTGGTTCGATCTAAGGGTCTTGATCTGAACTGCTATAGTCTATTGTAGGCAATTTGAGTAGAGGTCACAGGTGGTTAGGACAAACACCGCACAACCGCTTGGGCATGCTTGGCAAACATGAACAAGTCCAGCTGAGGGAGTGACAAAGCTCCGCAAGGGCGATCGGTCAGGGTGCGACCTGGAGAGAGGTGCTTGTCATCCACGCATTCAAGACCTCCCCAGGCTGAACTTTCCTGCTTGATGGATTAAGACTAAGAAAGAATCTTAAACACTTTGCCGTATGGACCAAACAATCCAACGCTCACTATCAAGAAGGGGTATGCTTATTCCCGGAGCCTGGAGCACGCAGGTTTCTCTGATTGGCTTGAATGCTTCCTTCGCTGCTTGCTTTGCTTTGCGCAGCTTCAGTTACTGATGTTGCACACTTGACTCAGAAGCAAGTAAGTGCGTCCACTCTCTCCTAAACCAGTGGACCAAAGGTTACAAGAACTCTTGTCGCCTGCAGTTTGGCGAGGTCCATCTCGCTGGGGGGAAGAAGCCTCCGTAGACAACAATTGTTGACACAGTTGACACTCACATTACTGTATGTTCATCACATTTCATCATGGTTTGCCGGATTGAATCTGAAAAGTATGTACATCACCGCGTCCTAAAACCCATTGATCCCGAATCACCACAAGTTCCACCAACACCAGTAGTCAAAGTTCTCTACTACTTTCGCTGCGGCACGCGCCGACCATGCAAAAAAAGAATCGCAGAACATGTGGAGCCTTCATATCAGCCCATAAAAGGGGATTGGTTTAGGCAGGTGAAACTAGCTGAAACCATTTGGTTGCACCTTCGGAGTAAGACGTGATTCACATGTCATCACAATTTCAAGGCTGGAACTACATAGACTACAACTGTCGAGGAAAGTTACCAGGAAAGGACTAGAAGAGAAATGTAGAAATGAAAGGGTCAGTCGACTGACTACCTTCTGCGATTTCTCTTCTGAAATGAGCTTCCGTTGTTGTTGTCATGATGGCTCGTCCATCCACGCCTCTCGCACCGGACGTACAGCACTGCAAGCTGGAAGCAGCTTCGGCGATCTGGGCGCCCAAACACAATGAAACACTGTGTATATGCTCGACAAAATGTATATAAATGTTGACCACACTGAGTACATCTCGCGGGTGGGAAATGCTGTCAATTGGACAATGGAGACAAATGTCTTGCGTATGCCGCACCGTTTTAACCCTTTGCTCCTGCGTCCAAAAAAGAATCACTGGGCCCCCCACTGCCGAAGCATCTTGAGGCGTGCAGAACGTCTTCGCAACTGCAAACACGGAAAAGACACAAACAAATTCCGAAGCTGTGCCCATCATAAAGCAATAGACATATAAAATGCTGCATGTTGAACTTGTAGTACAGGACGGTAGAGTACAGGAACATCTCGTGTGAGGTCGAGGATGCGCGGTGGGTTCACTGTGGGCGTTTCCAAGTTCCATTGATATGTGGAGAGACTTACTGTCAACTTCCAATTGAATTGGCGGAAGGTGCGGAAGCAACAAGGCTCGACGACGGAATGCTGTGACTGAGTCACGCTTGCACTGAATTTCCTGTACCCCACAGTTCAATTGATGGCAGTCGTTTGCTCTAGCACCTAGCATGCCCGAGAAAGGCCAAAAACCTCACAGGTCACACAACAAAGAACATGCCATGAACTCCCTAGCTGAAACAAAATCACCCCGTGGGTACCTCACCATTTAGCTAGCCATATAATATAGCAGCTCAGCCAATTCCACACTTAGCTAATTCGACGCATCACTTCCTAACAATTTTAGTTTCAACGTTTGGCCAAATCACCACCGAGCTGCTTAAAACTTGGGTACCTCACGTCCTAGCTAGCTCGTCACTCAGCTAGGTGCTAGATGGTGCTAGATTACTACTTACCTAGCTCGACACTTAGCCAGCTAGTTTGCTAGCTCCTTACTTGACCATTCACCAAAAAGCACATCACCCACGGAAGATGAAACTTGTCTGCAACTCAATAGATGATGTAGGTCGATTGTTTGTGCGTCCGGCAACATGTGCTTACTGTAGGTGCCGCTTCTCTTGAACTTCAGGACCCGACACTGAATGCATAGTCTGAATCATCCATCGGTCTCATTTATCTCCGTCCGGTGTTATACACTTTAGGCCAAAGAGTCACCCTGCAGAGCGCCTCATGAATTTCGGAGTCCTTCTTCTCAATCTCAAGCTTCATTTTGCGCACATCCTTCAGAACCTGCTTTCAGTCCAGGATGGAATCAACCCTGGCTACCTTGTGAGTCATGAGCAATCACGCCGCCTCTGATGTTTCTTTCTGCAAGCGACCCAATTCTTCCTGAGATGTGTGAAACTCAGGAAATAATCCAAGATGTGCAAACTTGTGAAGCTGAGGACTGTGCTCGCAACCGATTGTTGGTTTCTCTTGCTCCCTGTCCACTTAGATGTGTTGAGGCTTCAGGCACAGCAAGGAACCCTGAGATGCAAACCTGACATGGATCATCACGCAAATCCTCTGCATCAATATGGCCTCCATAGATCTGACGAATGGAGCGTTCGTTGCGAGGCACCCAAGACTCGCATGAGACTTTCCATCCATGCATCAAGACTCTCGCGGGGCCCAAAACGGAGCAGGGAGGATTGAAGCCGCCTGCCAAACCTAAAACAACACAACATGACAACCTTGTCGTGACAATGGTGCCTAGATACAAAGTGTCAGGCTGCAATGTCTTCAGAGTGTCAGCTTGGGCACATTGTGCAGGGTCGAGCCTTGCTTTGAAAATGATTGAAGTGTTCTCTCGGTGAGCTGCGACGTTCGCAAGCTGAGGTACACGCATCAGAAGCATTGTAGTTTTACAATCCTTGCGTTTATGTGCTTTCAAGTTCTCCATATATAAAGGGCCCCAAAGAAGATTGAAAAACGGCTGCAACTTCAAACAACTGTTAAAGTCACGCAAGGTAAACACAAACAAAATTCCGCCGACCCCGGTCTAGGCCGATGAACGTGAGCGTGAGCGGAACGGGGCCGGCGTGTTCCTCTTGGGCAATGTTTCTCAGCCGGCACATTAGCAAACACTTGCCCAAAAATGAATCCCGCTTCCATGACATTTGTCTAAATTCTTCTCTTCTGGGGCCGTCAAGCGGTGCCCCATGCTTTGGTCCCGGGCTCGACTCCCCCTGCGCGTCCTGGACCCAGTCTGGCGCCCTTTGGATTGAGGCAGCGGGAGGTAAAGCCCAGGCACACCGCATGGCACCCCGCGCGCCACCAGGCGAAGATAAGGACCCCGTGTGCGAAGTGCCATGCGGTGTGCTTGGCTTCAACCCCGTACCGTCTTGTCTTCCTGGGATTACACCAAGCTCTTCTCTGATTTTAAAAAGTCCTTTACGTCTTCGTTTGCTCCCCGAGCAGGTGCGGGCCTAAGCCCCACAAAACGGGCCGGGCAGGCCCTGGCACACCCTCCTGGACGTTCGGGGATGATCCCTGGAGCCTCGGCATCGTTAGCACCCTACCCTACCGGCTCGGCAGCAACCTGAGCTCGCGGAGTCCTCTGGGAGCCGGGAGGAAATGTTAACCGGGCTCAAACGTGTCTCAGTCTGTCTGTCTCGGTGCGCCTGTCTCGGTCTGTCAGTCCGTCTGTCTCGGTCGGGCAGGACACACGGACGAGCACATGCAAAGATGTCAATTGTCTGTCTCCGTTTGTTTGTCTGTCTCGGCCTCGGTCTGTCTCGGCCTGTCCATCTCGGTCTGTCTTGGTCGGTCTGTCTGTTTCGGTCTGTCTGTCTCGGTCTGTCTATCTCGGTCTGTCTTGCTTTGT